GAGCCGCTCTCCGCCGTCGTGGCCGCCACGCGCGCGCGCCTGGCCCGCTTCCCGCGCGCCCTGCTCGGCGAGGTCGGGCTCGACAAGGCCTTTCGCCTCCCGCAGCCGCGCGACCCGGGGCCCGACGGCGAGGTCGACCCCCCGGCAGACGACGAGCGCGACCTCGCGCCGGGGGGCAGGTACGGCCGCCGGCTGAGCCGGTACCGCGTGTCGATGCCGCACCAGGAGCGCGTGCTGGCGGCGCAGCTGGCCGTGGCGGCCGAGCTGGGCCGCCCCGTCAGCGTGCACGGCGTGCAGTGCCAGGGCGTGCTGTTCGACGCCCTGACGGCCACGTGGAAGGGTCACGAGAGGGAGGTGCTGAGCCGCCGCCAGAGGGCGCTGGTGGCCAAAGGCGCCGAGGAGTACGAGGCTTACGACTCTGACGAGGACGAGGGCGAGGGCGAGGACGAGCACAGTAGGAACAGGAGCAGCAGCACTCGGCAGAGCGGCACCACGCCGGCGCCGGCGGGTGGTGGCGGCGGCGGCGGTGCGCCCAAGCCGTACCCGCCGCGGATATGCCTGCACTCGTTCGGCGGCTCGGTCGAGACCATGCGGCAGTACCTGGACCCGCGCATCCCCGCGCGCATCTACTTCTCCTTCTCGTCCGCTATCAACCTGTCGACGCCGACGGGCGGCGAGCGCGTGCCCGACGCCATCGCCAGCTGCCCCGACGACCGCATCCTGCTCGAGACGGACCTGGCCGAGGCCGGCGACGACATGGACGCCGCCCTCGAGCACATCTACCGCGCCGTCTGCCAGATCAAGGGCTGGGGCCTGCGTGAGGGTGTCGAGAGGATAGCGAGGAACTTTGAGGCGTTTGCCTTTGGCCCCTGAGCCATTCTGGGGGTGGTCCCGTCACATGCTCACTTTAATGATGATACTCATGGCGTGATGCGTAGTACGGCAAGTCTTGGTTCAAGTAATGTCATGGAAATAGCCTTCATTGATGGTCCTGTGGATATTACCGTGGCCTTGAATAACAGCCTCCCGCAACGCCAACGATAAAGAAAAGAATAAACAGAACAAAGAAAACCAGGGTAAGGAATGAAACTTGTTAATACACATTAGAGCCCGCAATGAGACATCGTCATCCCCATCTAATTCTTGGTGTCGCCAAGGGCGTCGGCGCTACCCAAACCGGCCAGGGAGGAACTGGGACTCCCTGGTACGTACACGGACGAACCAGGCGTGTACATGAGCCCATCCGCCACTAGACTCGAGGCCGGCGACGCGTTCTCCTCCAGATTATACGTGTTTGTTTCTGCATCGGCGGGCGGCGGCGACGGCTCGGTGGCCTCGTAGGCCGGCAGAGCCTCGCTGTAGCGGCTATAACCGCTATCAGTCGATGGCCTCCCAGTCGAGTAACCAGTGAGCACGGCCGTTGACGAGAACGGCCGACGTTGGCCCCGATCGGGCACGCTACCGGCCTGTGGTACTGTCGCCGCCATTTCCGTTTGCTGCTGTTGCTGCTGTTGCTGCTGTTGCTGCTGTTGCTGCTGTTGCTGCTGTTGCTGCTGCTGTCTCCTGGCCCTGTTCTGCTCGGCCATGATGATGTCGGTCACAAAGTCGGCAGCGACGCGAAGGCCCGCGATCTCCTCGTCCACAGTCGTATCCATGTCGCCGTCGCTGTTGTTGTCATCAGGGCTTTCGCCGCCAGGCCGCTGCTGCTGCTGCTCGTGTTGCATCTCGACCAGCATCGCCGTCTTCTCCTCGTCGTCTGCGACGCCGCACACGCCGCTAGCGACTCTGCGCAGCGATGTGGCTATTTGCCCCAGCGCGCGCTTGATGGCGGCCCGGCGCTGCTTGCGCGCCTCCCTCCGCGCCTGGAACCGCTGCCACCAAGTCGTGTCCTCTGTGTCCTCATCCCTGTCCCGCTTGGCCCTGCACCGCTGCTTCACCAGCACGATGATGACGCCCAGGATGATCGAGTATAGGGATAACTCGGCTAGGTGCGACAACCAATGCCTACCGTGACGGCTGGTGCCAAACACGGGAGAATGCCCTTGAGGGCCTTCGTGACCGTAACCTCCCGATCCATGTAACGGGCGGTTGGTCGACGGCCAGCTCCAGTCTGCATTCCCTGAGACGGGCCCTTCAGGCTTGTCTGAGGAGGGCGGTGGTGGTAACGGACGGCCGTCCTCGTCCGAGGGCGGGTGAGGCGGCATGTCAGGGTGATGAGGCATGTCAGGTTGATGAGGCATGTCAGGGTGAGATGGCATGTCAGGTTGATGAGGCATGTCAGGCTGATGAGGCGGCGGGGGCCCATGGAATCCCGGCGGGCCATGGCGGAAATGTGGTCTGCGCGACGGCGGTTGGCCAGGGGGCCCGCCGGGGCCGCAGCCGGGGTGATGATGGCGGTGGCGGTGGCGCCACCAGCGTGGGGGGCCGCGCCAGCGGTGATGGGGAGGGCGGCGGTGGCCGCCGTGGAAGAGCGAGGCGACTAGGCCACGAGCCTTGTCCAACAGCGACGTGACGAAGCAGCCGATGCTATCGCAGCCCTTGGGGCCGTGGTGGGCCTGTCCCCTGACCCAGCCGTACGACTCGGCGACGAGCCTCTCGTGCGTTCGGATGATACGATGGATCTCGCCCGCCCTGGCTCTCAGTGTGTCGATCTCGTCCAGCTCGGCGACCAGCTTGTCTGGTGAGAGTTCTTGTTCGTCGGAGCCGGCCTTGAAGTCGTCGCCGTCGAACAGGGCCATCGAGGCCGGGCCCCTGATGCTCGATATTGCCACGGGCGCTGCCTGGCGGAATCGGACCGAGATTTCCATGTCTTTGACGGCGACCCCCGACACCGAGTTGATGGAGAGCGACATGGCCTGCTCCTTTGGTGCCCCTCGGGCTTCAATGCAGGCAAAACTCCATGTCGCGTCAAACGTGTATTCCTGGCGGGTAGTGAAGGTGCCCGCCCCGACTTCGGGGAGTACCTGGTTGTTTATTGTGGCATTCACCAGGCCACAGGGGTCCGTCGCCTCATTGACATTAAATGCGAAGTCCTTTTTTGTTTGCTCTTAACATTAGCGAGGGCGGCGTGCAGAGCGGGGGTCAGCATATACTACGCACCAGGTAATCCACCGGAAACTCGGGAGGGAGGTCTTCGAAGACGATATAGGCGGACGAGCTGGACTGTGCCCTTGCCAGCGCCGGCGCCAGCAAGCAGGCAAAGGCCAGTGCCGTCGTCGAGAGGTAGCGCATGGCTGGTGAGTGCCGCCTCGAAAAATGCCAAGATCCCCCGCTGTTACGCGCCTACACAAGGCAACAATTATTCCCAATTTTTGCTGCCTCTGACGGCGAAGCAGCAGTGGTCCCCGCGGCTCGTGTGCGTGTGTGTGTGTGTCGTGCCGGCCGTCCTAGACGAGGAAAATGCGCAAAAGAGTCAGGGTGAGCCAGCCGACGAGGCTGCCTAAGGAACGAGATCGTGGGCCCCTTTTTTATTTGAGGGAGCTGGCTTAATCCCAGCGCCGAAGCAGTCGTCACGCCCACCCACACAGATTCAGCGTGGCGGAGCAGACAGCCCAGGCTAGCTAGGTCGCAGGTAGCGCCCAAGCTACGGAAGGTGGGAGGCACCGGGAGCGAGAGGGAGGTCAGCAAGGCCGCCAGGGGGGTGTTGCTCCCGGCCAGCGAGCTAGACCGGTTTCAGTGAGGGCTAGGCCTGAAGAGGGCGCAGAAACAGAACGGGCCAGTCAAAGCACCAGACTTCTGAGCTGCTGTTTGATGCTGGCAGATGTAGAGCCAGATTATGCATCTCCGCCTGCAACCCGCACCTGCCTGGGGCGACGCGTCCCCTCTTCAAACCCTGGCTGCTGGACAGAGAAGCCAATCACAGGCACAGCACTGCCACGCCCGTCCACGCACGCTGGCGTCCGGAGACCCACATGGCAGCAGGTAGTGGCCAATAAGCTTGAGGGCGGCGTAGATTAGCTGACGAATCGCTCCAGCCCCGTTCCGAGTCTGCAAGTGCTGCCGCTGGTTGTGGGGTATCATCGTGTGTGTGGAGAAAACTAGGCGATCTAAGGACTAGAAGGCACAGGAACAAAATATCTCAGCGGACCGTCTGAAACACACCCATTGTGTCCTACGTACCTATGTACTAGGGCAATCAAATATGGACATATCAAGGCAATGCGGGATGAGCTAGACTGGTGGTATTCATTTGTGTAAAAGAGTGGAATCAAAAGAAGTCGAGCACGTCCATCGCCCACATGGCATGTGTATATGTACAGGAGAATCAAAGTGCGATAAAAGGAGGCTTGCAAGCCGAAACGAACGGCGGCACGGCAAGCCTTGTTGGACAGTTTGCTGTCAGGAGAATCGAAAGTGTCTTGTTCTGGGCTACAGCCCGAGCGGAAGTGGATGCATCAGCCGTAACAATCGAAACCACAGACCCACCCCATAAACAAAGGAAACGGAACTTCTTCCTGTCATCACCAGCTTCTTCTTCCACCACTGCCGATATTTCTCACTATCCCCTACCAGTGCCCCTGGCCGCTAGCACCGCGCATGGCGTCGAGGAAGGACCCGCCGCTGCCGGTCTTGTGCTGCTGGAAGCTGCTGCCGAGGCCCTGGGTCTCGCCTGCCTTGCCGTTCTGGTTGCCGTCGGCGCCCTTGCAGCTCCCGTACTTCTCCTGGCAGCCGCGCGCCCCCGAGCTGCTGGCCGCGCAGTGGAACCGCGACGAGCCGCATCGCCCGCGCTTGGAGCAGCACTCGCCGAACTTGCTGCCCTTGCATGTCTGGTTGCCCGCCCGACCCCCGCACTTGCCGTCCGCCGACACCTGGAGCTTGCTGTCGTCGCTGCTTCCGCCGCTGCTGCTGCCGCTGCCGCTCTCAGAATCATCCGAGCCAGCTCCGGCACCAGCGGGAGAGCTAGTGGGGGCTGTGGACGCCACGGGAGCCGGCGTCGACGCAGGGGTGGGTGCGGTGGTGACCTGATCGTCGCTGCCCTGGGACTGGCCACCAGAGCTGGCCGAGTCATCCTTGACAGCCGGGGCGGGGAGCGAGGCTTGCGCGGGAGCAGATGACGGAGAAGGAGACGACGGAGCAGGAGAAGAAGGGGGAGAAGAAGAAGGCTGAGATGAGGCGGAGCCGCCAGCCGCGGCCTGCGGGTTAGGGACGGGCGGGATGGCGCCGGGGAGCGGCTTGTCGGCGTTTTGGAGCTTGGCGCCCTTGGACGGCGGGCCGCTCGGGCTGCCCGACGAGCACGAGTCCTGGATGCCCTTGCACTTCTGCTCCCACTCCTTGCAGCCGTCCGCCCCCGTGGGCGGGGCCGACGAGTAGCAGACCGAGAGCTGCTTGTAGCAGTCGTCCGACGCCTTGTAGCAGCCACCGGCGTCGCTGTACGACTGCACCTCGGTGCCGCACCAGTTGGCCACCTTGAGCAGGCAGTCCTGCGGCGGCGCGCCCGAGCCCGCGCCCCCGGTTTTGGGCGGC